CGCTCTTGGGGGTATATGTATGTTATATATCAATATGGTTTACTCACTGGGGTTCCACGAACAACGGTGGAGACATGTTTAGGCACGTCTTCTTCATCTTCCAAGACAGGAGCAAGGCGGGACAGTCCAAAGTCTGCAACTTTGGCATTGAGCTTGGCGTCTATGAGGATGTTGCTGGCTTTGACGTCACGGTGGAACACAGGCGGGTCCGCTTCAGTGTGAAGGTAGAGAAGTCCTCTGGCTGCACCCAACGCAATGCTTAGCCTTGCACCAAAGCTCAGAGTCTCCTTAGCTTTAGCTGCAATCAAAGAGTATCATGTTAAAACAATGGACTTGTGTGAAAACAAAAATGCTAGATTATGAAAAACCCACAAGTCTTAGCACTTTGGTACCAGATAACCAGTCCCTCAAGGTGCCGTTAGGCATGAACTCATAAACCAGCATCTGCACATTCAGCAACCGCATAAACATAACAAAACACAACATGTCTGTGCAACTGTATTGAACATTGAGAAGAACTACCTGTTCGCCTTCTTCGTCACAATAACCAATTAGTGAAACTAGATTGCGGTGATGTAACCTCGACAGAAGTTCTATCTCATTTAGGAACTCCTTTTCACCTTGCAAAGACTCCTCATCTGCTCGTTTTATCGCAGCTATTGTTTTATCTGACAAGGTGCCTCTGTAAACCTTTCCATAACCTCCACTACCGATCAATGTTGAGTCGCTGAAATTGTCAGTGGCCCGTGCTAGTTCTCTGAAACTGAATTCTCTGATACCATCGATCTTCAAAACCTTTGACGCTGACAAACACAACCAGATTCATTGATTTAGTTGGAATGCTTTGTGAGATGGAAATGACAGAACAGAGGCAGAGATGGCAAACATAAGTTACAGTGATGTGATGACCGTCTTTTAGATATTTCATGCTGATGCCTTCTGTGTCTTCTGATGACCCAGGTTGTAGCTATTGCCAAAAATGCAACAACAGTGACCACAGCACCTACAGTGATTGCAGCCAGAACTCCCCGGCTGATGCCATCCCTTTGAGTGTTGAAGTCAACTGAGGGAATAAGAACGATCAGGGTAATCAAACACACCTACTTGTTCCAGAAAAGAAGGAAATAAAACTCTCTTTTGATGATAAGGGACGCACCATATGAATAAGGTCCAAAGAGAGTGAAATTGAGCAGCTCATACGGGCCGAAAAAGTCACTTCCACGAAATTTCCATGACGAGAACATGCCTCGGAGTCGGTGAACCTCGCTCTCGTTAAATGTTCTTGAATAGCTCTCATTAACTCTTGGGAAAAGTTTCATATACATCCTCAGACGAGGCCCTTCCTCCCACTGATACGAATCAATCCAGAGTTGATACAGTGCCATGTCAAGAGAACTGGTCACATAATCCTCAAATTGAATGATATATGGAGGGAAGTATGAAAAACTAGGACTTTTCAGCCGATATCCAATCCGAAGAGGCGCTGCACAGAAGCATCGCAATGGGGATGCTAGATTGTATTCGTAGAAGTCAGAGGTAGGGCAGGCTTGGGCAGGACAGTCCACTGAAGAATTTGTTGAGTTGGTTGATATCCAGTCCTCTCCATCAGATCCACAGAATAGGGCTATGTTTGATATGCTTCTATTCTTGCATATGGGGTTGCCATCAAGCCTAGAGAAAAAAGTAACTTTTCCATTATAACCATTTAAGACACAGTATGGAACCAAGAAGCCATACACAGACAACCATCAAAAAACATTTGGAAGCCTAGAAGGTGTACACAACTAGATCAGAGCATACATTAAAGTGACATTTGCTGGAGGATTTAGAACTCCTTGAAGACTTGACAGAGAATTATTCCTCAGATCACTGCATGGCATGGAAGTAAAGGGAGCACATCAGAGCAGTTGATGATCGAATGCAATTGCAATGGTGAAAAAGGGGATCACGGGTGTTACAGTTTAAGCCTGGAATTTGTATGGAAAGAGATCTTCTGCCATAAGGAGTCGAGCACAGAACCAGACAAGAGATTGTTCTTCAGTGATCTGCAGAAGATGAGGTTTTAATTTGCCAAGTTGACATACAGAAGCATACCCACAAGTCTCATCTCTCTCAAATTTTATTTAAACAGAGAAAATTGAGATGACAAATAAAAAAAAGAGAAACATAAACATTCTTTTGTAAATGAAGTCTCACAGCTTCTGAAGCAGAGGAAGTTCTGACAAGCTTTCTGGGATAGACAGATTAAGTTTGTTGTCTGATAGATCACTGCAAGCAAACAAGAATGAAAATCACAACAGTGAGACGTCTTAGACAAATAAAGGTGAGAGACTGAAAGACAGGAGAGATAATTCACAACTGTACAAAGCATACATAGTTGTTATGGCCCTGGAAAGCTTAGAAGGAGGTATAGGACCTGTGAGTTCATTCCTGC